CATACAACCACAGGGTGGACTGGTGGGCGGAGTCATACAACCACAGGGTGGACTGGTGGGTGGAGTCATACAACCACAGAGTGGACTGGTGGGAGGAGTCATACAACCACAGGGTGGACTGGTGGGTGAAATCATACAACCACAGGGTGGACTGGTGGGAGGAGTCATACAACCACAGGGTGGACTGGTGGGAGGAGTCATACAACCATGGGGTGGACTGGAGGGTGGAGTCATACAACCACAGGGTGGACTGGTGGGTGAAATCATACAACCACAGGGTGGACTGGTGGGCGGAGTCATACAACCACAGGGTGGACTGGTGGGCGGAGTCATACAACCACAGGGTGGACTGGAGTGCGGAGTCATACAACCACAGGGTGGTAATTCTAGTTGAAGCAGGACATTGTTCAGCTTGTGTGTTGGCAGATTCAGTTTATCAGAGACGACAGTAAAGAAAGACAGAACATGAAATAATCACAGCAGAAACATCAGAGAGGTTGTTTAAATATATGTCTTTAAATGTTACAGCTGAACATGAACAGAAATATCTCATCAGATTCACATTAATGTGACTGTTGTTGTCAGTGTGACATCACACTGATTCAGTCTAATGAAACTAGATGGTTTTTTAATAGTTGTATCATTGACCTGATATTCATCCTGTCAGATTTTGGGATCTTTGGAAACTTTCATGTGTTAGAATTTAAATAAAGTTTAAATGAAAACACAAGTTGGTAAAGACGGAGACAGTCGAGGGTTTTAAACATCAAACATTAGTCCCAGTTCAGGACATGAAGATGTGCACGGTGACACCAAACTGTACCTGAACACATCCAGCTGATGAGACTCAGATCTGTCAGTGAACACATCAGTGGCATGTCAGTGGACATCATCCCTCTGTGATTGGCTCCCTGTGAAGGTGTGCAGGTTGGTCCTCTGCTGCCCCCAGCTGGATGATCAGTAACAGGACAGAAGGTCACATCAGATATAGACACACTCTCAGTCCATGTGTAAGTCACCATGAATTCATTTTATCTCCACGGTGAACCAAGAATCCAAAACCTGAGACACGTCTTCTTAAAAGCTGAAGTCTCATTGATCTGATCAGATCATCAGATCCTCACACACACACGCACACACACACACACGCAGAACACTGAAACATTACAATACCTGAAACAGCGCAGGTTCACCACCTGTCTGAGATGATCTCACTGTTTTATTCTGCTCCTGTCTGATGTACTTTTATTTCTCCTCTGTGTGTGTGTGATGTGTGTAACTGTGTGTGTGTGTGTGTGTGTGTGTGTGTGTGTGTTTGTTGTAAACACCTGTGGCCGACGGAAACAGCATTTTGTTTCTGTGGAAATGACAAACAAACTTTTAACAGCGGTGAGGCATCACAGACCCTTGCTGTCAGTGGGGCTGTTTGTGACGTCACAGTAAAGACCAGCTGAAATAACATAACATTCTTCTGTCTGACCTCTGACCTCTGACAGGGTGTGTTACGAGCGATGTCCCTACCACCCGACAGCAGCCACCTTCATCCTGTCAGCCATGTGGCACGGAGCGTATCCAGGCTACTATCTCACCTTCCTCACAGGCATCGTCATCACGCTGGCTGCAAGAGCGGTGAGCTGCCCCCGCTAACTGTTAGCTGTTAGCATATAATCCGCCAACTCACTGTTGGCTGTTAGCTTCTAATACTGCTAACTCACTGTCCCCGCTAACTGTTAGCTGTTAGCATATAATTCACTAACTCACCATTAGCTGTTACTTTCTAATACTGCTAACTAACTGTTGGCTGTGAGCTGTTAGCAGATTATCCCACTAACTAACCGACTGTTAACGTTTAGTTCTCTCAGGTCAGACACAACGTTCGGCCGTACTTCCTTCAATCACCCACCCACAAACTGGTCTATGATGTCATCACGTGGGCGGCCACTCAGATCGCCATCTGCTACACAGTGGTGCCTTTTGTCCTGCTGTCCGTGAGTCCATCCATCAAGTTCTACAGGTCAGTGAGTCAAGTTTAATTCAAGTTTAACTTTGTTTAACTCAGGTTTGATTCAGGTGTAACTCAGGATTAACTCAGGTTTAACTCAGATTTGACTCAGGTTTGGTGTTGGCTCACCTGACGTGTCTCCACCTGTTCCCTCCCCCCATCAGGTCGTGGTACTTTAGCCTCCATATCGGCTGCGTTCTGCTGGCTGTGGCGCTGCCGGTCAAACCGAGACATCTCCGTCTCAAAGAGCAGCAGAAGGACGTCGTCCAGGAGCCGAGCCAGCGCCACTTGGAGGCCACAGACAGCCAGAAGGAAAAGACCACATGAGCCAGAGGACCAATCCTGAACTACATTTTATTTCCATGAACTTGTACAGGAAGACGAGGAGGTGACGTTCCTCCTGCGTCAAAGCAGAAGCACGATGGTCGAATTAAGCTCTGTATTATTTGGACGAAGCATTTCAGAAACAGGAAGTTAGAACCTGAAGTTTTTAACAGTCTGTTTGACCTGATGAAGAGTTTTCACACAGCGCTGCGATGTTCTGACTGTCAGGAAAACATCTGGACTCAAACTCCACCAACACCTGTCAACATGTTCGGATCAGGCAGATCTACAGTGACAGGGAACACACACACACACACACACACACACACACACACACACATAAACTGTAACGTCACATGGAGCAGCTGCCGCAGAGTGTCATGGCTGCCCACTTAGTGTAACAGAGGGAGGAGGCAGTGACAGGATGAAGAGAGAAGTGACTGAATGAGTACATGAATGAATGAAAGCCCGTTAAAGAAAAGTTCAGAACTTGTAAAGACAGAGTGAGTGAATGAATGAATGAGTGAATGAATGAGAGCATTAAACATTCCTCTCAGACAGTCGTACTGTTCTAACCTGTTAATCACAGTGTCACAGTGTTCATAAACATCCGTTTGGACAAAGTGCCAGTCATGACTTCACTCAGTCGCCTTAGTTTGTTTGTTTGTTTGTTTACTCGGTGGTGTCATGTGAGTCGGTGGTGATGAGGGCGTCGTGTTTACATTTGTAGGTGTGAGGTTATTTATCTGATTCCTGACACAGACTGTGTTTGGATGGAAGATGTGTTGAAGAGAATGCGTCGTTATATTGTAGTAAATGGATTAACCCTGAAATTTAATTTAATTTAATTTGATGATGTGAAACAGACTCAGTCCCTCTCAGATTAAATAACAGGAAGTGAACCAACGTCTCCGTCTGAAGCTCGTTTGGTCCGTCTAATGTTTGGTTCAGGTTAACTAACGCTTCAGTTCAGCAGCTGAAATAATCGGGTTCAGTGGAGCCATAGACTGGATAAACTCAGCCGCTGTCAGTCTGTGGAGCGCCTGCTCGATGGGCCCGATGAGGTTTAAATGAAGCAGCGTTGATCATCAGGATCATTTTATACCATGAAAACAGAACTTTTCTGGTTTCATGACCATTGAGACATGAATGAACAAGGTCCTGCCTCCGATGCTGTATCCAGGTCTGTTTATATGTCCTTATGTCTGTTTGGTCATGTGACATCAAACAGCTGTTAATCAGTTAAAATCAAATGACCAATAAACATGGAGGGGGGATGCGATTGGTAAATCACGACACAGGTAGGACGAATCGTCAGGTGATGAGGGGTAAAAACAAAGATGGCGAGCACTAACTCAGAAGACGTGTTTATTTCTGTTGTCATGGTAACTTTAAAGTTTAAAGATATAGGCCTACAGTTAAAGATGGTGGTCGGACCGATCTGATGTTTCTGCTGTCATTATTTTATGTTCTGTTTCTTTAATAAACCCAATCTACTGACACAGAAATTGAACAGCGTCCTGTTTTGGACGGACCTCAGAGGACAGGTGTGAGTATTATCACCACACTAACTGATGGAAGCAGCGACCAGGAGCCTCCACCATCATGGAGTCATGTGACTGCAGGGTTTCCACTGTACGACCCTATGACTCTACATGACCCTCCGTCAGAAGCTCTCTGTGTTTTATCAGTGTTACAGCTGGTCAGGAGACAAAAGCACTCCACCTCTGTCTGTCTGTCTCCATTAGCACATCCACCATGTTTCTTCTATGACTTCCTGTTTCCACCTTATTTGAAACATTTTAATGGGACCTGGACGAGGACTGTGGGTGATGGACGATAGACGAGGATGATGGAGGGGGCTGATGAATGAGGATAATGGATGAGGCTGATGGACAGGCTGATGGACAGGATGTGATGCTGCAGACAAACACAGAGGCTCCTCTGACTGTTAGAGATGACTCACAGATGTTCATGTTGTCACAGTGAACCAGCCGCCTGTCTGTAGGTTTATATCTTTGGTTTTTGTAAATGATGTGAATAAACATTGGATTTTTTGACACTTGATGTCGTGTGTCCATCTGTGTTTGGTGTTTGAACCTTCAGCTGACTGATGAGTGTCTCTGTCTCATCAAGTCGTGGTGAAGAGTCACATTCATCACTGCAACCGCTCTCCAGCACCTTTTCTTCAGTGAGTTTCACATTGTAACAATAATTTAAATTATCATGTATTAACATGAAATGTTTCATGTCACAACAAGATGAATTATTTTGTTAGAACATGAAAATAAAATGTAAAAGAAACACATAGTGATAACAGGAAACTCTTCATGTTTTTATTTTTTTCCTGGTGTGTCCGCTCTGAGCTCCCGTAGCTTTGGCAAGGTGAAAAACCAGGAGGACCTGATTGATGACAGACGTTCTGAACTTTAAACCCTAATAAACACAGTCACTGACGCTCACACTGTTAATGAGTTATTATTTTTATTTCTCAGATGATAAGCTGCTGCTGATGATAAACTCACTTCTCTCTGCTCATTTCAAATTAAAAGTCTGCAGTTATTACGGAGCCACTAAAACCAACAGGGACTGAAATCGTTATCTTTCTTTGACTGTACCCCCCACACAGAGGTGGGAAACATGATGTTTTGCAGATGTTGAGTTTTGTTCTTAATACCTAATAACTAAATGTTATTTTACGTCAACATGACGTTGGCATGAGACGTGTAGAAGATGTTGGATTCTGGTTATTTAACAACACAAATAAAAACCAACAAAATATCAGTGTCATCTGTCATTGACATTAGTTGACGTTGGCATTTGATGTTGTTCTGACATTGAATTTTCGTCACCCAATAAAGCAACCTTAAGGCAACCAGATATCACCAAGACATTGGTCACCAGCTGGGGAATAACTGACTGACAGAAAAAAATACTGGCAACTTTCTTTAAATATGATCAAATATTTCCTCCTCCAGCAGCTCACCTTTACATCCTTTGTCTCTCTCAGTGATAAAAATAAATGTGAAACCGTGGTGAGCTGTTTGTCTCGATATTTTCTGTCATTTTCCAAGATAGCATTTTAAGATTAATTAAAATGTCAGAAAACACCGTGACAAAATGTCCACGTCAGTTCTATATTAAACAAAATGACTGATATGTGATAACTGTTTGATTTTTGAAATTATAAAACAGCTTCTTGATGATAAAAAATATTCTATTGTTATAAAAATAAATCAGAGTCCATTTTCAGAATTGACATTTAAAGTTGTATAAAGACAACAACAATAACATCAACAGCACCTTCAAAATAAGTTACCAGCCGCAGTCTGCTCGTTGGTTCGGTGGAAATAAATTAAAATATGAGTCAGACTCAGGTGAAATAAACTCAGTGTGATATCACCAGTGTTAGTGGAGGTGAAGAATAACAAAACCCTTTAAAACCCTGTCAAAGTGGTCGGATTGTTGAGTTCAGTCGGGAGTGGCCGCTGCCTGTGCTTTTATTTTGATAGTGGTGAGCGGAAGTAAGGCTGTCAGTTTGGCGGGCTTGACGCAGCGGCGGGCTCTAGTTGCTTGTTGTTCTTATCAAGATGGCTGCTGCTACCGGGGATGGAGAGTGAGCTCCGGCTGTCATCTCAACACAGGCCCAGGAAACCGACACTAACACGCCCAGAGACCGGCACCGAGACCCGACTGGACCCGAACCAGGACCGCCTAAACCGAATCTGATTCTCGTTTGAAGGTAAACCCGGTTATTCTCCGGTGGTTGTTACCGTCAGCATCATCCGCTGTCGTCGATTAATATTTGATTGACACTTGGATCGATCATAACAAATCACAGTGACGGTTAAATGTTTGATTTATTTTAAATGAATAAAGATTTATTGTGTTCATCAGACGGATTAATGAGTCCGTATTGTTCCTGTGTGAACGGGTTCACACAGTGAATGACAGCGTGAAGGTGACAGGGTTACTGCAGTGTTATAACAACAGGACCAGTTATAACACTGTGCTCACTAGAGCACTCTGACGGTATGTTCATAATGTTTATTAATAATGTTTATTAATGTTAATAATAAATCACACAGGGCGACGCCTCGTTATTACACTGACCTGATTTCAGACATGAACACCGGAGACCTTTGTTTCCTGTTTATTAAAATACCTCATGTTATTGTCCAGTTAGACATGATGCGTTCACTGTTATTCTGTAATATACTGTGCTGCATATGAACTCATGAAATATATTTATAATGATAGGAAGGTTACATCTGACATATAATAGGTCACACATCAGCCCAGTCTGAATCTGCTCAGATTTTAGGAATGTAGATGCTGTCGTCACATGAAATGTTAGAAATCAGATTATCTGTTAATGTTTGTTCTCCCTAGCTGCTCCATATTGATCTTTTAGTTTTAATGACCATGTGTCCCACAGTTTGTTCATTAACTAAATGTTTTCTTGAAGTCAATCAATCAATCAATCAATTTTATTTATAAAGCCCAATATCACAAATCACAATTTGCCGCAGAGGCTTTACAGCGTATGACATCCCTCTGTCCTTATGACCCTCACAGCTGATCAGGAAAAACTCCCCAAAAAACCCTTTAATGGGAAAACAATGGTAGAAAGCATTGTCCATTTTTTGGGGAGTTTTTCCTGATCAGCTGTGAGGGTCCTAAGGACAGAGGGATGTCGTATGCTGTAAAGCCCTGTGAGGCAAATTGTGATTTGCGATATTGGGCTTTATAAATAAAATTGATTGATTGATGATTAAATCAAATCTATGATTCAAAATTTTCACTAAAATCTACTCAGTAGTTCTTTTAGCCTGCTTCAGGTCATTTTAGGTTTTAATGTGCTGTATGGGGTTGTTTTGGTTCAAAAACAATTGTCATCATAAATGAATATTGTCGATCTCAGTGTTTTATGGCGGCGCTCAAACCAGACTGTGTCGGATTTTATAGATGCTGCCCTTGTTCAGTCAGTGAAGCAGTTTGGCTTCATCTTATCAGATATTATTTCAGTTATCAGATTAATACATAATAATAAAATGTCCCATCATCGGCTGATGACTTCTTGGCCTGTTGTGAAGCTTTGGTGGATGATGTGACCGATGAAGGAGACTGTTGCCGTGGTGACAGCAGAGCTGCAGATGAGACTTTATTGATGTCTGTGGTTTCCGTGGTGACAGTAAAGTGATCCTGAGAGAAGACAATCCTCTCAGGGTTTATTGAAGTGATATCAGCGGTGCAGCAGAGTCCACAGGAATGTGTACATGCTGATCTGAGGTCAGCTCAGAGCAGGGACATTAAAGGAAGCTGCTGAGTGCTGAAGAGCAGACTTCAGACTGTCTGGATCCCAAATATCACCGACACAGAGATGTGACTGACAGCAGGGGAGTCTGTCCTGAGGGGGGTGCTGCAGGACACACCATGGAGTCACTAAGCAAACACAGAGACGTGACTGACAGCAGGGGAGTCTGTCCTGAGGGGGGCGCTGCAGGACACACCATGGAGTCACTAAGCAAACACAGAGACGTGACTGACAGCAGGGGAGTCTGTCCTGAGGGGGGCGCTGCAGGACACACCATGGAGTCACTAAGCAAACAGTTTGAGAATTTATCATCAAACAAGGTGCAAAAACCCGAGTGTATCTTCATAAGTCAGTGATCATAAAAGATAAAAATGATTTCTGTTTGAAGTTCCAGTTTGATGTGACATCGGCTGTCAGGTTCATCTCAGCATTAAGGCAAACATTAGGTCAATAAACGACTTTACAGGCTACAGTTTAACTAACTTGTCCAGAAAGTGATGAGACGACCCAATGAGAGCCGACAAGAATGAACATCAGACACACAACACTGTGTCACGCAGGATGTGAGGCTCCGCCCCCTTCCCCACTCAGATCTTAGTCCTATGTTTACGTCAGAGGTGGATCGAGTACTCAGTTCTTTTACTTCAGTACTTATACTAATACCACAGAGTAGGAATACTCTGCCAGAAGTTAAGGTCCTGCAGTCAACATCTTACTGAAGCAAAAGTACTAAAGTATTAACATTAAAATATACCCAAATCACTAACGGTAAAAATACTCTTATTATTTATATATGATATTATTGGATTATAAGTGTTGATGCATTAATGTGATCATGAGTTAAATATTACAGGCGGTGAAGGTGGAGCTTATTGTTTACTGACAGTATGTCACGTTATGTTCTGCTGTGGAGCTTCACCTGTAATATTATATATCATTATTTATTACTGATTGTATTTCATGTTAATAATCTGAATCTAAACAAAGTTATCAATGAAATGAAGCACAGGAACAAGGACAATATCTCCCTCTTAGACGTAGAAGAGTAGTATAAAGTACAGAAATTGTCAAAGTACAAATACCTCAAAATGTACTTTACTTTAGTTCTACAGAGGAAACATAGTCAGAAACTTTCTACTCCTGCAGTCGTGTGAATTCAATTTTCAATCAATCAATTTTATGTATAAAGCCCAATATCACAAATCACAATTTGCCTCACAGGGCTTTACAGCATACGACATCCCTCTGTCCTTAGGACCCTCACAGCTGATCAGGAAAAACTCCCCAAAAAAACCCTTTAACAGGGAAAAAAACGGTAGAAACCTCAGGAAGAGCAACTGAGGAGGGATCCCTCTTCCAGGACGGACAGACGTGCAATAGATGTCGTACAGAACAGATCAACATGATAAATTAACAGTAATCCGTATGACACAATGAGACAGAGAGAGAGACAGAGAGAGACAGAGACAGAGACAGACGGTAATGACAGTAGCTTACAACAACATTAATTTAAGTAATAATAATAATAACAGCTATTGTGGTACAATATGTTGAAAGTATTAATAGAATAATAATGTTAAGCTAAGGCTTAAGCTTAGCCCCTGAAAACATAAAACTACATGTTTATGACTTGATGAGACACAGTCAAAGTTCCGAGAGAGAATATCCTCTTATTTTTGTATTTATTTATTTGCTGCTATGTTTACTTCCTGCACTGAGCCCTCCGTGCTTTTGTCTCCTAACACTGTCTCCTGTTTGTAGGACAGGCAGACGGACAGACAACAGACATGGACACCACCACGTCCATAAAGATGACCACACTGGCCATCCAGAACCTCTTCAGCTACGTGGAGGAGGAGAACCTGGCTGCGCTCAAAGCTCACCTGGACCGCTTCAAGGAGGTGGACGGACGCAGCGATGTACGTACACAAAGACACTTCCTGTTGTATTTGTACTACTCCTGTTGTAATCCTTTGGAGGACTGAAACACTGAACATGTTTCTCATCAAAAGACCGGATCCTAATTCCTGCTGCTGCTTTATTTATTATTTATTTACAGTAAACATGGTTAGTTTATTTTTATTCAGACCATCTCCAAAAATCCTCCAATAAACCTCCAATAATCCTCTAAAAATCCTCCAATAATCCTCCAATACTCCTCCAAAAATCCTCCAATAAACCTCCAATAATCCTCCAAAAATCCTCCAATAAACCTCCAATAATCCTCCAATAATCCTCCAAAAATCGTCCAATAAACCTCCAATAATCCTCCAAAAATCCTCCAATAAAACTCATCCTTGGCAAAAATTCTCCAATAAACCTCCAAAAATCCTCCAGTAGTCCTCCAATAATCCTCCAAAAATCCTCCAATAATCCTCCAAAAATCATCTAATAAACCTCCAAAAATCCTTCAAAAATCCTCCAATAAACCTCCAATAATCCGCCAAAAATCCTCCAATAAACCTCCAATAATCCTCCAAAAATTGTCCAATAAACCTCCAATAATCCTCCAATAAACCTCCAATAATCCTCCAAAAATCCTCCAATAAACCTCCAATAATCCTCCAAAAATC